ACCGACCGGTGGATCATGGGGGGGGGGGGCGAGCATATATACATATATATATATATGTACAGTGACGTAATTACGCATCTGTTTATGCATACGCACACAAGTACTCCTGTGGACATGTTCATGTTTGTATATTGTATTTGTACTATCCTTGTTGACGAGGTTGAACATCTTAGGTTGATACAGCGGAGATGACCAAGACATGATTTACAGCACCCTGCCATGCCAACCAAACGAAACACACAACAGAGATTGTTTGCGGTAGCTACATGTGATTTGATGGCGATAGACAGACGAGCAACGATCGGAGGAGAGAGTCAGCAGGGGGCGATGGTAAGAAGATTGTGTGAATATGCTGAAATCTATATCCTTGCGAAACGTGTCTAAAATAACAACAGCAAAAAGAGCAAACACCAGAGTTTGCCATCATGCTTCCAGATGCTGAAGAGGTGTTTCAGCTCGCTGGGGAACACGTGAAATCTTGTCTTCATGCTCAGCGCTGGACCCTAAACCCTAAACCCTAGAACCAGGCTCCGCCCGATCCGTACTCAGTCTTGAAGTATAATATGGAGCCGTAGCAGCCATATGTCGGATAGGCTTCATCCCATAAAGGAAGTTCAGTGGGAAGGAGCCAACACCGACTGTCAAGATCTATGGTCGGAGGAGTCCACGGCAAATCCCTCACATCCCAACGCCCAACCCAAGCCCCGAACCTCCCCCTCCCCGGCTCTAAGCCTAAACACTGAGAAACAATTCATTAAGGCATCACCAAAGATAGCAACTTCACGGAGAGTGATGCCAATGCCCAGCCTCAGCGAAGCGCCGCCGAGGCTGTCCCGGAGCCTTCGCCTCCTCCAGACCATGTTGGCCAAGCTGGACGCGGGGCAGTTCGTCTCGGAAGTTCCCCAACATAGAGCCCCTTAAGCAACGGCCTTTCTTAGCCCGTAACTTGCTGTAATGTTGTCCCGTTTGTGTGCCTGGTCTTGCGATTGCCGCCACTGCTCTTTCTATTACGGCTGCAGCTGCCGCTATCGGCAGTTTCAGTGCTATCACCGCTATCACCACTGTCACCACCGTCACCACTGTCCACACCATCACCACTACCAAGTATCACCACTATCACGACTATCACCACTATCAGATCAGCAGCAATAGCAATTGCAAGCAGTGCTTAAGCTCAGAGCGGCAAAACTAGTGAAAGTTATGACAGTTTAGGGTTTAGAATTTAGGGTTTAGCTTAAACCCTAATCCCTAAACCCTAAAGATGCGGATTTTTCGCCTTCGGCTTGAAGATGTGGTTGTTAATCGGTGAGATGCTTACGACATGTTCATAAACTTCGTGGACGCATGCCTCGTCGAATTGGGCCCAAGCTTTGGAAGACCATTCATGCATGGAGTAATCGTCGCTGTCGTTATTGCTCGTGGCCTGTTTCATGTGGTCACATTCAACTTCCGCGGAGAAACGACAAAAGCAGGCTTCAGGGACGATGAGCTCGAGCTTGGGCCTACGAATTGCGACTGCTTACGCGCCGCCATTGGCAAGTGCATTAAGCCTCTCCATCATCTGCCACGACTCGGAGTGGGGTTGCCTGTCCTACGACTCCAATCAGCATATTTCTCCATCAGGGCATGAAACCTCATTCGATTCGGCCCATCTCTCAGTGAGACAGCAAACAATCTTTCCATCGGAGTACCTTCGCGGTCGACGTCCTGTCCTGCAAGAGCCGCCAGCTCATCTTTGTCCTTCAGAGGCAGTTCGCAGAACTCTCGAATCCCAGGTATCGCTGGAAACCCTGCCCTGCGAAGATCTGATGCCAAAGGACCACAGATGCTTCGTTGTCGGCAGCTTGCCAACAGTCCTTTGCAAATCCGCTGCAACGTCCATGGGCGGGCGGGGGAAGGGGGGCTGGGCAGCGGGGGCGAGGTCGGTCGCGCTCACACTCTTGCTCACACTTGTAAGCTGCAAAATACAGCAAAAAGGTGTGGCACGTTGGCTCGAGCACATTTTGCCAGCTTGCTGGACCGCCTTTAATTGATGGAGCTGCCTGGGCCCTAGCTGTCGCTGTTCTCGTGATTGTTCATGGCTTTTTTTCATGTTGTCACGTTCAACTGGCGGATGTTTATTGTGCAGGGAAGCGGCAGAAGCATGTGCAACGACTGGAAGGTGGGCTCAATGTGAGACTGCATAAAACTACATCAGCATATTTCCCCATCAGGGCACGAGACCTGCATCGATTTCGCCCATCTCTCAGTGGGAGAGCGAGCAGTGTTGCATAGGAAGGAGGGTCGTGCATGCCTCCATCGGAGGACTTCCCTTGCGGGCCGCATCGTGTCCAGCAAGAGCCGCCAGCTCATCTTTGTCCTTTAGAGGCATGTCGCAGAACTCTCGAATCCCAGGTGTCTTTGGACTTGCTGCCATACGAAGATCTGACGCCGAGGGACCATGGATGCTTCGTTGTCAGGAGATTGTCAAGCTTTCATCCGGTTCATTTGTGTGGAGGAGACTAAAAATGCCCGTACTCGCACCTATGCTCGGCCCTCTGCAAAACCGCTGCTGGGCATCGCTCCGGTCAAACATCCATGTGCAAGCGAGTCGCTAGGCCTAGATCCCGACAACTCCTTCGCCGCGAGCATGCAGTGGCAGTAGGAGCCACCATCATCCAATGCCGGATGTCACCTCGTGCAGTTTCCCATGCTTCACGGCCACGCCGCGGAGGACTGGGCGGGGTCTTCAGGGCGTTAGGCTACGCAGCTATGCCGTTCCATTTGTGAGAGGAGCTCGGTATCTTCCAGGCGGCACTTCTCCGGAACGGCAAGACAAAAAGAAGGAAAAGATGAAGAATCTTCCTCTACCGCCCAAACAACTCGACATGACAACAGATATCCCGCGTGGTGCCCAGTTTTGCTTCTGCTATCTTCTGTTGGCGCTGGCTTTTTGTGTGTTTGCTTCATATCAGGGAACCATTCCACACTCGTGTCGGCAAATGTGTCCATGCCTCAGCACTGGAGTTCAAAGCGTGTGGCATAATGCATTTGTGTAGCATGTTGCGGTTATCCAAGGAGTGTGACTGTTCTTACTGCAGCTTTGCCACACGGAATTGCATCTCCTGCCAGGAACCCACAGGCTCGATTCGACCCGTGAGTGATGTTCTTGGATTTTGAGTTTGAGCGTCAGTGTGAGCGGGAGTGATGGATCCCAGCGTCAGCGGGACTGTGAGTGGGAGTGTGCGGCTCCCAAAGTGTGAGCGGGATTGCGAGAGGAGTCTGAGTTCGGGGTTTGGAACCGAGGGGGTTCGGGCCGGGCCCGCCCCCGCAAACCCGGCAGCCTGCATGCCTAGATGCAATTAGCCTCTGAATTCTATGGGTAGTGGTTCGCAGGGATTGGCCACGACACCATCCCACGTTTATCTTTCGCCTCACGATTTCATCTGTTGAAATCGTTTTGAATCTTTCAAATCATGCTGGCATTGCACTCATGCTCACACATCATCCCACGCGTATCTCTTACTTCATGCAAGTAGTGGTAGATGGTAGACAATCATAAGTAATCTCTCATGTTGCCACTTTCGCTCACGCCTCTGCTAACAATTCTCCCACGCTTCATGTAGGGATGTTCGTGTCATGTTCATGTTTGAACCCACACTTCCGCCTTCACTGTGGTCACAATTCACGTTGGCATGGTTCTTCATGCGCCCGCTCCCGCTCACACTTCTGCTCACACTTTTCTCACACTTCACGTTGGGATGGTTTTTCATGCGCACATTTTCTCTCACACCCAAGCGCAGATTCTGGCTCATAAAATACTTATTTCATTGATTCCAGAGCTTGCAAGGCAGCGCCACCCCTTTTCGCTTGCCAGCGCTGTTGTTACATTCACTATTATCGTTTTTATCACCACTATCGCCACTATCAACATTATCGACACTATCACCATTATTACCACTATCACCAGTCCGACACAGTCACCAAGATGTATCACCACTATCCAAAGTACCACTACCACTACCTTACCCCCGACTGCCGCTACCGTTATCACTACGACTACGACTGCCCCTACTCCTATGCTGAGCCCTTCTCCTATACCTTTATCCCCATGACTACTGCCGCTACTGCTTCTACTACGTACTACTACTACGTACTACTACTACGTACTACTACTACGTACTACTACTATGTACTACTACTACTACTACTACTACTACTACTACTACTACTCCTACTACTACTTCTACTACTACTCCTACTACCACTCCTACTACTACTCCTACTACTACTCCTACTACTACTCCTACTACT